CAACTGCTATTTAGATTGGCCACCAAGTGAAACCCTTCGGAGTAATGAATGTAAGATAGGATAGTTTTAAAGACGTAGACCCTGGCCAGGGAAGTCCACAGCATGAAGGCTCATCCAGCAGGCCAAGACAGAATAAGGCCCCAGGGCTTTTTTGGATTTGAAGGAGTAGAGAGCAAAGGAAGAAGTGCTGACATTCAGAAACGTGGCTATCTGAGAAACAGATTAAGAACTAGAAATGGAGAAAAACAGATACAGATAAAACTTCAATTATTCCATGGCTTGTCCCAGCATCAGACCTGCCTCATATCCCAAAACCTTTCACTGCAGTTAGGACTCTTAGATATACAAACTTTGTCATTAAAGAGCATTTCCACATTTGACCATACATTTTTGCTGATAGTCTTAAACAGAGCCTCAGTCACCCAGAATTAATATTCCTCTCCTTCCAGGAAGCAATTCACAACAGAGAATGGTTGAATGGGATAGAGATATATACAACGCAATCAACTTCCTTTTCATTTTATGCTCTTCTAATAGTTGGCAGAAAGGGTACATTTTTAAATAGTCACATGAGTTGACAGGTGGAAGTCACTATGCTCAAGTTGCAGGTCCAAGTTTGGATATCATTAAGCTTGCTTAAAAAAAAAAAAAAAAAAAGAGATTAAGATATTGAGAAACTCATTTGAAAGACATGTACTTGCAAAGAAAAAAAAAAGTAAAACTAGGTCTAAATTATTTTAAAAAGCAAAAATTAAATAATTCAAACTAGGTATATTTTTACTTATATGAATAAACCTTAAATACACATACACACTTTCATACCTCAAGCCCAATTTGGCAGACTGTTAAAACAGAGTGCCATCTGGGAACCTGATTATTCCTAAGAAATGACTTTAGAGCACTGCCACAAAATCAAGCACTCTTCTGAAGCTTTAGCGAACAGTTACATCCTTAAAATATCATTTTGAGACTCTTTTATTTTCCTGATGGGAATATGTTAACACTAATTTTGATTCCAACTACTGTTCCTTTGGCAACTATCATGTGTAAAGATAATAGATTTTTAATTTCTGTACTTTCATTTTGATAGACTTACAAAAACAAACTCACTTAATATCAATGTTTACTTAAAGTTATATTTTATACTTCAAATATCAATCCTGTAGGTAATAGAGTAAGTCTATACTAGAAAAGAATTTCCTTGCATGACAAATAGTGTTCAAAGTCATTGCCACCCTGTAATGGATATTATGAACAGAATGTATCTGAAGACGTGCTAAAAACTGGATTGGAATGGTAAGGGGGTGGAAAGAGGAAACATGTTTACAATCTGTTCAATTTCTCAGCTTAAAATTTTTGATATATAGAGCAATGGTTTAAATACAAGACTTAGTTTCCGAGTCAAATTGCTAGACATATAAAATTAAAACCTTTAATGGTTAAACCCTACCTTTCTGCCAACTTCAAGTTCTCCAATACAGGACCTCTAGGCTACTCTGTCGAGTTGCTTTCGACTACAAGCCATTGCTCTGTATCTCCCTTAACGACCAGATGACTCCACAAAGACCATGACACTTGCCAGAGGAGCTCTCCAGTGTGCTGTGGCAGGCTGGTGGGGCCATTATGCTTGATCTCCTACAGCCCTTTTACGGAAGGCCTGCACAGATGGCTCTGTGGGAACTTCATCACATTTTCTTTGTGGAGAGTGTGTGCTCAGTATGGATGTTTAGTAAATGGTTAAGAATAATGATCCAGTTTTTCATCCACACAAAAGATTGATTTCATGGCCTCAGACTGGGGTAGATTTCAATCTACCGTTCACGGAGACTAAATCATAAATTTGCTTATTAGCATTCCGAGAAGAAAAGAGGTTGGATCCTACCCATTAAGTCAGGAATATCAAAATTAAAGGTGTCACCTGATGCTTGAATACACGTAGTCCCTAAATAAACAGAATAATTCAAACATATTTGAAAAAATTACAACTACTGTTTCCTACAAAAGTAAAAGAATTATTAAAAAATTAGAACACATAATAGAATAATTTACAGAAATATGGAGAATACTCTGGTTCTGATTGGTGAAAAGTTATTACTGTGAATTAAATTGTAAATTTCAGATAGCTAGAAAATTGAAAAATAGTTGGAGTCCTGGATTATTGAAACTATTCATTAACAACAGCTCTTTACTTGCTTCTGCTATTGCCATTCATTTTCAACACACACAACTCTCCTTGGGCTCCATACAGCAACTATCACCACTGACCACTAACAAAAAAGTTCCTCACATTTGCCAACACGGAGGATAGCGACTGTCCTTTCCTATTTGCTCTCAGTATGCATCATGATTAGATCAAGTTTGCAGCAAGGACAACAAGTCTATGCACTGGTAGATGCGGTCTGGGCAGTTGTAATACAGCATTTTAAATAATCAAATCATTTGCTACACCTTGTTAAATTTAATGCATACAGATATGCAAAATAATTTCAAAGTACTCACACATATTACCATACTCTCAGACAAGTTACAATGCGTCTTCCCGCTTAAACAGACAATAAACACACTAACACAGAAATGCATAAATTGTGTCCGCATATAATAAGTTATATTTTAGTAGAGTGTCAAAGGGGTCATAGTCAGTATCCTTCATTTCCACATGACTATTTTGCTGGCAGGGAGGGAATAAACAAGAAATTCTAAATCTAAAGCCAGAGTTTCTCAACTCCAGTACTATTAATATTTGGAGTAGGAAAATTATTTGCTGTGGGGGCTATCCCATGCATTAAAGTGTATTCAGCAGCATCCCTGACCCATTAGATGCCTGTAGCACCCCCACCCGGCTATGACAACCAGAAGTGTCTCCAGACGTGGCCAAACATCCCCTGGTTGCCAAAACTGCCCCCAGTTGAGAACCACTGATCTAACCAACACCAAGTCCTATCCACAATAACGATAGGACAAGAATTTTGACCCAAAGGAGTCTCCACATTATATATTTTTAAAAAGCTAAAATGCATTACTATTTAGTAAGCAATTATTTGCTTTTCTTTAAATCTGGTTCTTTTAGTAAAAGTGCTATCTCAGGGCATAAGAGCTTGAACAACATTTTTAAAGAAGTTGCTTTGCCACTTTCCTGTGTCTCATCTGGGAGGCTCCAGTGCTTCCACTGCAGCAGACCCAGGGTTGACCCCTTTGCTTTTTGGTCCAATGAGATAGAATTATCAGGAGAAATGTTCTCAAGCGAAGCCAAGGTTCCCACTCAGGCATTCTCACAGGTACTACTTAGGCACACCTTGCTTTGACGAACTTGTGGTTTCCACTGAAACAAGTTGTTCTGCATACTTCTCACTACGGCTATAACTACGTGACCTCGCAGTTTCAGTTTGTCAGTAATTTCACTGAAGGCTGAACCCAGATACTAATTTGTCTGAAACATTTTAGGTCCAACATCTCATGAAACAGGCTCCAGGCAAGCACTCTTGGACTTGGGAGCCAACAAACATGTTTCGCCTAGTCCTTAGCCTACTCAAATATAGGCTACAGACTTTCAAAACAGAGTACATGATTTTAGGGGGAAGCGCGTTAACGCTTAACAAGCATCAACAACTTAAGGAAAAGACTTTCAAAGTCTAAAGTTTCTTTGCCCATCAGATAGGCCTTATGAAGAAATATGCTGATAAGGAAAAATAAATACATCTAAATATTTAATTTTTATGGAAAGTAAACATGACTCCTACATACTATAGAAGCAAACATTTCACTTTGGTGATGAAATTTAGAACCTCTAAACTATCTTTCGATTAGTCAGAAACGCAGGCAGATTTATCCCTCCCATGTACATTTCATTACCGTGGAGTTTAGAAAAGCTTATTCAACAGAACTAGAAGCAGCTTCAAAACAGTGTTCATTTAAAAACATATATTGTTAGACTTTAGAAAACTAAGTCTACCTGGGTTTGGGGGCTGTTCTATGTACTGCTAGAAGACAACGTGTACTATTCAAAGATATTTACATAGCTGGTTATTTTTCTTCAGAAAAAATAATTGGTCATCCAATTTTAAAAATAACTATTAAAGGTTTTACACAGGGATATTAACCACATAAGCTAAATCTTTGAACTGGTAGAAACCGATTTTTCCATTTTCATTATTTCTATAGCTAGAATAAGGTGTTTATTTTCTCCCTTGCAAAAAAAATGTTAATTAGGTTTAAGAGGCAGGATGACAAAGAGATAGTTACTATAAATTAAATAACTTTCCTGTCAGCTTTATCTGGTAACACAGTTTATTATTGATTGCCTGAAAGCAAATTAGATTTACAGGAAATATAAATAAATATCATAAGAGCTTAAAACCAGATTTCCTGAAACTGTATACTCCCACACAAACAACATTTTCCACCTAAAATCTAACAAGATACTGGCATACATGTTCTCACTCCCACTTTCACTTTCCCATCCACACTATTAAAATCGTGGAAAACAGCTCATTTTTAAAAGTCAGCCACAACTGGCAGGGTCCTTGGCATTACATGTTGGTCCCAGGCACTGCTGTCTTCACAATATTAAGAGATTCTTTTTTATCACTGTCCTATCTAATTTTTATGCTAATAATTATGTCTTAATTCAAAATATATTTTAAAAATTTAAAGATTGTTATTACTCTGCAAGTTATAATATAATCCCTAAATTCACTTTATAAGTATAATAAGTATCCTCAACATTAGCAACCAAACACTACCATGTTCGACACGTATTAAAATATTAACACAACCATTTTGGTCGGTATAGAGATTTATAGTAAGACCATGCTATGAGTTAGAAACAGCTTCACATTCACAGTCCCTAAGCCATTTTTAAAACAGTCTCTTTTAGAATAAGAACAGAGGAAAACAGAGAGAGGAAGAATTTTTCTGTAATCATGAACTCTCAGCAATTCTTTTCACTTAAGCTATAAGCCCTAAGTTTAAATATATATATCTAACAAACTGTTGAAACTTACTTGACAGTGACTCGATTTGATAAATCCTGTAGATCTCCAGGATGGAAAAGCTGGGCTTCTTTCAATCCAATCTGTTCACAAGCTTTCAAGAAAACGTTTATATTATCCTGTGAAAAGAAGTGGAAAGTGATTGCTTAGCTGAGCTCTCTCTCAGACAAAGGTTACAAATTTTTATGCTATAACTTCGAAGCTTCAAAGTCCATTTATAGTCGGCAAAAGAGGCGGTAGCAAGACCCATGCATATGTATATTTGAAAAAAAATACATAGGGCTTGTACAGCCTTTCAGTCCTCCAGAGCATACACGGTTGTGCTATCTTATGCCCGGGCATACACTGTTTCTGTGATCTTTGAGACTGGCACGTTAAACATTACCTGTTACAGGACAAGTGCCTAGCCACTGAGCAGTAATCTACACTTTGATGTCAGCTCTGCTCTGCAAACAAACGCCCTCTTCCCAGCTTTGCACGGCAAGCCTCACCTCTCCTCTTTAAAAATAACTCCAGCTACTGACATTCACCCACCCAGAAACTGTTGGCAGGGAAGAAATAAGAGGAGGAACATTCTGTTTCTATGATTACAAATTACAGAACGACTGTGGAATACCACACCTGGAATCTGGGTTTGGTTGTTGAGCTGGCTCTTGACAGGCAGGGAAACCATACTATAGGACTGAGGAGAAACCTAGCGTTCATTGGCTAAATTGCATAGTTTGTGTGGCACATTACTCACTCCCTGCACCTGCCTCAAGGGCTGTCTCCAAAAAAAAATTAAAGCCTATCCCCTCCCTCCAAGGTTGCCCTCGTATCTAATTTCAAAACCCAAATCCTCCATTCACAAACCAGTGCTTTTCGTTAATGTAAACTGCTGCACAAACACGGATTACAATATATGCTATTTTAAAGCCAGCTACCTTTCAGAAACATACATTTGGTTACCAGAATGAATTTAGGCTTCATCACTACTACTCTTAAAAAAAAGAAAAGAAAAGAAAACACTTTATGGGGTTGAGCTTGTGACGATCCCAGGTGGGCTCTCCATATTCACTTTGTTATGGTTCTCAGGTAAAGGGGTGGCCTCCCAACATGCCACCCATCTGTCCACTGAGGCAGCTGGCAATGCTACCTCTGTGGTGTGAGCCTCCTTGAAACCTCGCCTCCCTCCCTAAGAGGTGACTTTCACAGACCAGAAGATAGTCTGCCACTTGGAGAAAGGCAATTACTGTTTTCCTAAGATAAAGTGGCTGAATTCTACAGCTTGGGTTCTTGGAGAGTAAGGGGATTTTGGGAAAGCACAAGGAAAGGTGTGGCAAGAGAAAAGCAACACTCATTACTAGGGAAAGAGACATTCTAAAAAGCCACCATTTGTACAGGCAGGAGGCCATTCCAATCTACTATAGAAGGCAGTGAGAACTATCTAGCTGAAAGATGAAATCCATGAATCATTTTAAATAAGATGAAGTCAAAGAGTAAAGAAACTTGCAAGTCAAAAGTTGAATAGCTCAACGAAAGGTGTTTATTTTGTTTTTTGTTTGACTTATTAAGGAAAAAGGAGACATAATTTATTGGCAAAATTCCAAGAGGAGCAAAAAGTGATAATTTTGTTAGGCCCACAGTTTCCAAAAAGTATACTACCTGTAATTATCAAATGATACAAATAGTTTTAAAATTGACCCTCTGAGAAGCAGGCAAGAAAAGATGGTTGGATGTACCAATACCCCCAGTTCCATAATGATATGGTTTGGCTCTGTGTCCCCACCCAAATCTCATCTCAAATTGTAATCCTCACATGTCAATGACGGGAGCTGTAATCCCCGCAGGCCAAGGGAGGGAGGTGATTGGATCATGGGGGCAGTTTCCCCCATGCTGTCCTCGAGATAGTGAGTTCTCAGGAGATCTGGTGGTTTTATAAGGGGCTCTTCTCCCTTCACACTCTCTCTCTCTCACCTGCCACCATGTAAGACGTGTCTGTCTCCCCTTTCGCCGTGACTATAAGCTTCCTGAGGCCTCTCCAGTCAGCCATGCAGATCTGTGAGTCAATTAAATCTCTTTGCTTTGTAAATTACCCAGTCTCAGGCAGTTCTTTATAGCAGTGTGAAAATGAACTAATACACACAGGACGTAAGTCTCATATCAATAAAGGAAAAACAAACCATTAGAAGTCTTCACACCAATGCAACCAATTTGGTTCTGAACGTTTAAAGTATTACATACAATATTAAAATAAGGTTAAACTAAAAGTAAACTTAGTCAAATGAGACCCAAAACAATTCTTCACATATTTTATACAAACATAGCAGCATTCATCTGGTTGACAAATAGGTACAAGTTGATAAGGATAGATAAATAAAGCCAAACTCTCCTCAAAAACCACCAAAGTAGAGAGAAAGCACTTGATATCTAAAGTGACTCTACTTAATTGAAGACAAAGTTCAAGAGAAGATACAAATTCATATGGTTAAATTCTAGTCTTAAATAAAGCCTTCATTTTAACCAAAAAAGCAGAATGTATTTTAAATCGCTCAATGATGCTCAAGTTTAACACAGAATAGCTTTGTAAACAAAGTCACACATGGCCTATGCAGCAGGACCAGGTTGTACTAAGATCGGTAATGTAGTCTCAGTCATTCCTACTGGACTTGAGCGCACTGGTAATTTATTCCTTGCAATTTCAAAGGATCCAGGCAAAGAGGTCCCTAAGGGTATATATAGAATCATAAAATAAAATTTTCTTGTCAGTTAAAACTTCAAGAAGCCACACTCAGCTCAACACATTAAAAGGGAAGTATTTACTTCTCATTTAATGAAATCATTTTCACTTGAAATTAGCAAAAATAAAAGGGAAAATAAGGGACAAATTAAAACAAATCTTATCTAATTGGACCAGTAGCCAGAACTCCAAGTTAGCTTTGTCCCTAAACAACTGTGTGGCTTTGGAAAGAGAGTTAACATTTCTGGCCCCATTTTCCTCACCCCTGAAATGAGCAGTTTGTGAATCTGTAACCCATTATCAAGGGCAATCATTTTTCTCTGCAAGAGAAGGGAAGCCCAACCTCCCTGGCCCAACCCATCACACAAATATTTCATTACCCAACTTCCATAAAATACTTCATGTCAAAATCCTGCTCTAAACATCTGTAAACCCTGTACTTTCAGGACCAAAAGTGGCTTCTCAAAGACAAACCAACACACACACACACACACACACACACACACACACACACACACGAAAACAATGAACCCTAGATGTATCTAATGGCTCCTTTTAGCTTTACATTTTTCTATGACTGTGAATAAAGCCATGATTACAGTCATCCCAAGGCTTTCTATTTTTCTATGACTGTGAATAAAGACAAACACTACAAATTAATGGTTCTAAAACTGGCCCTCTGAGAGGCAGGCAAGAACAGACACATGGCTTTAAGATTTTCATATTGTCTCCAATCTCCCTTACACCCCTTATCCTTGAATCAATTATAAAGCAGTCATAATAGGTGTGGGGTGGAGTGGGCTAGGGTAACTTAGAGAGTTTTATGATCAGGAACAGCAGTACTTACCACTAAGATAGGATGGAGAAGCCACAAAGATCTACCAAGATAATCAAGGTTTGTATTTGTTCACTGTAGTACCCTACTAGTTATCTATTGGTGCATAATACATTATCCCCAAATTTAGCAGCTTAAGGGAATAGGTGTTTATGATTTCACATGGTTTCTGAAGGTAATTCAGGAGTGGTCTTAGCTGAATAGTTCCAAATTGGGAGACCTCTCATTAGGTTGTAATTGAGGTGTCAGCCATGACTACAGTCATCCCAAGGCTTTCCTGGAGCTTGGAGGAGCTGTTTCCAAGGCAGCTCACTCATGTGACTGACAAATCAGGGCTGGTTGTTAATAGGAAGCCTCAGTTCTTTATCAAATGGACATCTCCAAAGGGCTGCTTGATAGAGCCCGTGATCCAAGAGAGCAAGATGGAAGTTGCACTGTCTTATGATGTAGCTTTTGAAGTCACATTCCATCATTTCCTCAACATCCTGTTGGTTACACAGGTCAGGCCTATTCCATGTAGGTACACAAGAACATAAACACCAGGAGGTGAGATTCATGCGGGGCTTTCTGGGGGACTGTCTACTACACTTCACTCTCTGGACCCACCTCAGTGATTCACATCCCAACCATCTGCAAAATACACTAAGGCCCAAAAATTTTCATCCCTTTACAAGGCGAACTCAAAGTCCAAAATTTCATCATCTAAGTCAGATACAGAAGTGTCTGAGGCTCTTCAGGTGTAGTTCCTTAAGTATGGCCCTTGAGTAAAGTTTCTCTCAACTTAATGCCAGTGAACTAAGACAAGTTACCTGCTCCCACACTCCCAACATGCAGTAGAGTGACAGGTGTAAGATAATCACTATAGACACTCCAGGTCAGACAGTAGAGAAATAAAAGGCACACAGGAGTCATTGGTCCACAGAAATTCTGAAATCCTTCAAGATACAGGTTGGCAGTTCCTTCATGAAGTCTCAAGGCCAGGTTATACTTCATGGTTTTTGGCTACACCCTCTGGATTCTTGGTGCCACCCTAAAAGTCATCTTCGCTTTTCACCGAAAAGTAGCCTCTCTTTGTGGCTATGTGGGTTTTTCAATCTACTTCTTTACCCGACCCATAGCAATTGAGAGAATTAAGGGTCTCTTCATTTAATAATTCTCTATTCCTTTCAGTCTCAGCTGGCAGTGTTTCTGCAAATACAATTCTCTCAAAGATGTTACAGATCTTCTGTGAATCTTACTGGGGTTCACTCCATTAGACAAAAGTTGCACCCATGAATCTCTTCAATAGTAGCCCTTCTCTACCTTGGTCTCCTGCTGAGATGACTGGAGGACAATATCCTTAAGGTTCTTAGAAGCCCTATTGCTTGACTGGACAGATCTGCAAGGTACCATCTTGAATCTAAGAACGTAAAGAATTTTACAACCACATCCTCAACTCCTTTTTAGGCCTTATTTTCCTGCAAATGCTCTGAATTTAATCTATGCCTGAAAACCACTTCTCAATTCTAGCATCATTTACTTACTAAAGAGACTGACAATTTTCAAAAGCAGCAATTCCTATTTCT